TGTGACATGGAAGAGTTGTTAGACATAAGGTTCAGTCCAGCAAGAGGGAAAGTGGTAAAATGCCTGGCCCTGAAGACGTTCAGCTTTACACTGGTCGTCGTTGGCCTGGACTGGTTTGGAAGCTCTGCATAGAGTTGGCGGGGGGGGCAGGAGCAGCTAGACAAATCTCCTGGGAGGCTTCTGGACCCCTAACTTTTTGCTAGGGAGGAAAGGGTGATTTGGGTGGGTGGTTAGGGAAGGGAGGTGGTGGGGCCTGCGAACCTGAGTTAGTGGCCCGGCACTGCGATGCCTGGGAGCGACGAGATAGAAGGCCTGGTTCCTCTCGGTCAGGGAAGCGTTCAAGCAGGGAGGGGAGATGTGTGCACTGGTCACAAAACTGTGCAGATTTTCCTGAAACGTGTTGCTGAGGGTCCTGGGACTCCTGCAGGGCTTCACTGTAGTGGCTTCCTGGAGGAAGGAAGTGTTGAAGGAACTCCAGTGAGAAGAAAGGCCTTGGGTGCTGTCACAGGACCACCGGATGGACGGAGGAGCTTGACTCCAGCTGCAGATTCAGAAGAAGGAATGTACAGAGGAGTGAGTTTGTTTTTTAATCCTCACCCAAGGATATGCTTATTGATTTTAGAGAGAGGAAGGGGGAGAGAGGAACACTGATGTGAGAGAGAAACATCAATCAGTTTCCTCCTGTTTGCGCCGCGCCCCAACTGGGGGGTCGAACCCACTACCTAGATATGCGCCCTGACTGGGAATCGAACCCGCAACCATTTTGTATACAGGACAGTGCTCTAATGAACTGAGACACCCCGCTAGGGCTGGAGGAGTTAGTTTTTGACAGTCCTGGTGACAGGAATGTTAGGGCCTGAGGGGCAGTTTTAAGTGTGCGGTGGGGTCGTGGGGCTGAGAAGAGGCCAAAGTGTGGCCTCGCACCACGCTGCTTGTGCAGGGCTAGGGTAAGTTGAGTCTGTTTGTCATTAAGTGCAGAGGAGGGTTTCATCACTTACAGGAAAACCACCCACTTATCTGAAATCTGACCTACTTCGGGGTTGGAGCCAGACAGGGCTCTTGCATCCTCCCTCAGGGACATTCGTTCAGGCTGTAGTCAAAATTGGTGCATCAGCTCCCACCACTCCCACCATCCACAGAGGCACAGGGGCTGAGATTGCCCCTCTGGGTGTCTTAGGTGGTGAGGCGGCTCAGCAGGGCCAGCCAGTCTGTGATCCTGAGGAGTCTAATGCTCTTTCCCGTGTGCATCATGCTACAGGGGCAGCCCTACTCTCCTGAGGAGGCATACTCCTGGGACTCGGCTGTTCAACTCTCTCTTTCCAGGGGCTGCATCATGATGTGTCAGGAAGGGCTTTGTGCTGGGAGGCAGGACATGGTAGGTAGGGAGAGTCCGGTGTTTTCTGGGAATGGACATTTAGGCCAGATATCTTTAAGGTTCCTCTTGCCTTCCACCGCCTTTGTTCTGTGCAAGTAATTTTAAACCACTGTTTTGTTTTTTTTTAAATTGAACCTATTGGGGTGATGTTGGTTAATAAAAGTATACAGGTTTCAGGTCTACAATTCTATAATATATCATCTGTATATTGGATGTGTGTTCGCCACCCCTAGTCGAGTTTCATTCCATCACTATCCCCGCTTTATGCTCTTCTACCTCCCCCACCCCCTTCCTTCTGGCAGTTACTGTACTGCTGTTCTCTGTCCATGAGTCTTTTTTTTTTCTTTGCTTAACCCCTTCACCCCTCACCCACCTTAAGCCACTTTTTTCAAAAAGCCACTTTATAGTTTTACCTCCATTTAGGGGGGTGGTGGAATCTCTTGGTCACCAAGAGAAATATTTACAGGTTAGAAAACTGGTAGACTTCATTTGGGAGGTAGTAGCCTCAAGTTTTGGTGTATAAATATAGGGATGAGGCAGAGAGAAGGAATAAGAAATGGCACTTGGGCCCTTGCTGGTGTGGTTCTGGATTGAGCACCAGCCTGCAAACCAAAGGGTCTCTGGTTCGATTCCCAGTCAGGGCACAAGTTTGGGTTGCAGGCCAGGTCTCCAGTAGGGGGCACACAAAAGGCAACCACACATTGGTGTTTCTTCTTTTCCACTTTTTCTCTCCCTTTCCCCTCTGTCTAAAAAAAAAAAAAAGAAAAGAAATAGCACTTGGCTAAGGTTGGCAGGCAGCAACAGCCAAGGGGCAGAGGGAAGAAGGGTTGAAGGCCTTGGTAGGAAATGCATCCGTATGGCCTGGCAGATTTTGGAGGGGCTGGGGTACAGCCCCAGTGCAGCCCTGCACTGATTAGCACTGCAGAGCCTAGGAAGCTCAGTTATACGGGGATCCAACTTAGAAACTGCAGAGATGGCAAACTTGTCCCAAGGGTTTTCAGCTCCAACCCCACAGTGGCCAGCCCTGGGGTGGGGCTTGGCCAGGTCTTCGCCCCAGCTGGGTGCTGAGCTTGTCCAAGAAGCTGCAGTCCCTTAAGGAGGCGTTTGAAGTTCTGTGGGGCCTTGGGAAGCTCTGTGCTACCTGCTTCTAACCTGTTTTACCCTTTCCTTCAGCTTTCAGGTAGGGTCAGGTGTGCTAAGGCCAGAAGAGGTAGTTGAAAGTGGGGCCTCAGTGGTGAGTGGGGTCATGGGCAGTGAGGTGCTGTGGAACTGGGGTAGCTGAGGTTATGGAGTTCATTGCTTTTCTACCCCCTGCCCCTGGGCCTGAGTTATAGGCCACCTTACTGAGACTGTCTGCTGCATCTGCTGAAGGAGCAGACAGGATGAAAGGGGCAGCTTAGGGGAGGCAGGATCAGGAAAAAAAAAACCGAAGTTACCAGGGTCAGCCACAGTGCTGAAGGGGCTGGAATCGAAAGGAATGTGTGGGCCCTGCACCTACTGAGTGAACTGCAGGCTCAGAAGGGGGCCTGGGCCTGGGGGTGAGGGACTCCTCTCAGGTCTCAGGGCTGAGCCAGAGAATCTCCTGCCTGCAGGAAGCAGGGATAGGGAGGGAATGCCCAGGGGAGGATTGGGTTAGCTAGGAAATGCCCCACCCGTACCCCCCACCCTCAGCACAGTGGCTGCAGCTACTTTTCTGTACAAATTACCTTCATTCTGAGGTCTCACCGTAGCCCCAGGGCTTAGCTTGGGAGTGAAGTTAGCAGGGTGGTGCTAGGGGTTCCCTGTTTGGTGAGGGGAAGGGAGCCTCCACCACCTGGTTCTTCAGGTCCGGGGCTGCAGCTGGAGTCCTCGGGAGGACAGGGACCTTACTCTTGCTTAGCAGAGGGGCCCTGTGTATAAGGGGGAGCCCTGGACGGGATGGCAAGATCTGGGTCTGACTGCTGGCAACTCCTTGTCACCTCCCCTCTCTAGACCGGTTTCCTATTTAGTTGAACCAAATAGTCACAAAGGGTCTGAAGTCCCTTTAAGCCCCAGCAGCCCTGCTCTGCCAAACCCTTCATTTGGATGGTCTCATCTGATCTGTACAGCAGTCCTGTGTGCAGTAAGGTGGCATTACACCTCCATTTCAAAGGAATGTGGGGAACAGTGACACAGAGAAAAGGTTTTCCTGCCAAAGGTTACCTAGCTAGTTAGCTCAGTGCCACAGCAGGGACCCAGGGTTCGTGATGCCATCATTGGTTCTCGTGCCCCTTCAGTGAGTCCACCCCTCCTGTGTGAAGCCAGAGAGGGAGAGTCACTGGGTCCCACTCTGCCCCGCTCTAGCAGGCTCCCCTCCTTCGGAAACACCAAGCAGATCACGATACAGTTAGTTCTGCCTCCTCCCTGCACCTGTCCATCCTGCTTTCTGACTTTCTGATTTCCAGCTCTTGCTAGGTAGTGTAAACTTTTTTCTGCCTCCTCCCCTTGCCACAAGAAATCAGCCACTGGGTGAGATTCTGAGTCTAATCTGAGACCTCTCTTGCACTTTCAGCCTCTGATTTCGGCAAACCATCTGCTCCCTGCCCTCCCCATCTCTTCTTTTGCTCGGGAGGGAGTTTAGACCTACAGACAGCAGGCAATGCCATCCCCCCTCCCACCCTGTTGACTCAGCAACCAAATTTCTCCTTAAGCTGATTAGCACTGGAGTGGAAAGGAGGGGAACTCGCCTGTCACTGGAGCTGGCACCTGCACCAGGCTGGGGGTGGTGTGGTTTGCAGCAGCTAGGCCTAGGGGATGCGGCTTCAGGAAAGGGTCTGGGGGACTTCTTTGCCTCTGGCAGAAAAGGGGCCCTGAGAAGCACCGATTACCTTAAAGGGGCTGCAGAGATGGGACCACCGGAGTACCTGGGCCTGAGTGGCTTTGGGGCAAAGTGTAGGGGGTGGGGACAGTCTCTGTCCTGAGTCTTGAGGGCAATCCAGGGGCAGACACAACACTGGCTTGAAAAGCCCCCAGTCTGACACAAAAGTAAGACCCAGGGCAGATTGTTCCAGGTGGTGAAAGCCCCGAGTCTGCAGCTCTGCGGTGGGGCAGGAGGCTGCCCTGAAGTGGGTCTGGGCAGAGAGGGGAAGGACACCTCACAAGAAGGACAGGGAAGAGAACTGGGGTCCTGACCGAGGCAAAAGCCTATGGCCTTGGCCTTGCTGGCAAGGTAAAGATGAGAGTCTTGGAGCCACTGTGGGGGCTCCTCATCCTCTAAGGGCTCACACACACAGACTAACGGTGCACCTTCCCTTTCCCAGGCCTGTGCTTGGCAGGGGAGGTGGGGAAGGCGGTGCAGGGGCTACCCTCAACAACTTCCCTCCCTGCCTGTCTTCCTTTCCTGGCATCCACAGGAGACACAGCCACCCCTCTCTCTCTCTGGCTGCCTGCCCAGCCCAACGCAGTTAGGGTGGGAACGCTTTGCAGAGAGAGGTCTGTGTCCCTTGTCTCGGTGTCTCCTAGCCCCCAGCCCACAGATTTGTGATCCTTGCCCAGGTGTCTCTTGACCCCCAGGCCTCTCTCCCTCCCACTGCACTAACAGCTCAAACACCCGCCCTTCCATAATGTGAGAGGCAGACACAGAAGGAGCCTGGAGTACTTGGATCCCTGTAGGGGGAAGTGGTTGGCGATGATTTATTAGCCAGACAAGAATCAACAAACAAGTTCTAACATCTGTTCTCGCCAAACCAACCCTCAGACAACAGCAGCATTGGACCAGGGCCCAGGCTCAAAGGCTCAGAGGGCCAAGGAAATCAGATTCCACGAGAGGCCAGGGCAGCGGGAGGCAGCAGGGCCCTGCTAGCCCACATCTTCACAGGAGCACCAAGCACTGAGGAGTCTGTGGGGGAACCAGTGGGCGTGTCCCTAACAGGGAGTGGATTCCACATTTGCTCTTCTGACCTCTAGGCTTTTTTGTGGGATCCCAGCCCTACAGGGTAACAGGGCTATGGTGGGATCTGAGGAAAGGATCCAGCACCCAGGACCCAATGTGGTAGAACTCTGGAGAGCAGCCAAATTTCCTATCTCAGGAAATTTCTGACATTTCCTGTGAAGACCTAGTGGATGTGGGGTCAGGAACAGAGCTCCAAACCAGGAAATCAGGCCTGGGTCCTAGTCCTTGACTTCGGCAAGTCACTAGCCCACTCTGGCTTCGTTTACTTATCTGCACAGTGAGACAGTTGGACTTGATCAGGAAGGGCAAAAATAGAAGCTGCTCCTCTTCCTTCCCTCACCCATAGCAGACATCACTAATCAATCACGGTGCTCTTTTCTGCTGAATTCAGAGATGACCTTAACAGCTTTTCCAATGCAGTGACCTGGGCAGCAAAGACTAATGGATTGGTGTTGGCATACCAAGGTAACACCTTTTTGCCATCTTTGCAATAGATGGCACTGAGGTCCTTTCCAGCTCTGATCACCTATAGTTTGTTCCATCCACATTTCCCGAGAAGGACACCTGGGTGTGTGTGAAGTCTCTGGACCAGATGTTCCAGGTCATCCTCGCTCAGAATCACCGGCTACTGAGGAGGCCCCAGGGAAAGACACGCTTGTCCTCTGTCCTGAAGCACCTGTCTAGGAAGGGCATGAGGGAGGCTGTGTCCCCAGAGAGGCAGGGGCTGGTGGGACACGAGAGAGCCTTGTTCAGCCACAGAATTTTCAGAACACAGCTGCCGGCCACCTGGATTCTGTAGAGAAAAGGACAATCTTAGGTCACATTCTCTACCCTCTGCCTCTTAGGCCTCCCTGCAGCCTCAAGGACTAACACATCCGGTCTTAACAGATGTTGGCCTGCACAAAGGAGGGCGAAAGCCCACCCATTCATTCAACTAATATTTCCTGAGCACCTGCTCTGTGTCAGGCACTGTGCTGGGTGCTCTGGAAACAGAGATGAACAGGCTCCAGCCCCAGCTGCTCAGTGGCGTGGCAGCTGTGTACAAAGCACAGTGGATGGCTCTATGGTCAGGTCAGGGGAGTCTTTCCAGAGGAGGAGAAGTGCAAGCTAGCTTGTAGGGTGACGAGCAGTTTCCCAAGCAGCAAGAGATTGTACTTGCAGGAAGTTGGTATAGGCAGAGGGACTGGCATGTGCAAACCCAGGAGGCTTGAAACCACTTGGCGTACTTGGAGAAACATGAACAGTTCTGGGAGGAGAGGTGGTAAGACTGATGAGGTGGCACCCTCCCACACAACTCCCTCTGAGTATGGAGGGCCTCATGGGCCAGGCAGCTGTTTCAGAAAGACCATTCTGGCTTCCTTGGGGCAGAGTGGATCAGAAGTGGCAGGTCTGGTGGTTAGAGAAGAGTTAGGAAGTTCTTGGAAAAGTTCTGCTAAGAGATGACCAGAAGGAGCCTGAAATTGGGGAAAGGAAAAGTATGTTTGGGAAGAGCCCCAGCAGAAATCAGTGACTTGCAGGGCAATGGGGGTGAAGAGAGGGAGATGTGGAAGGAGCCATGGCATTCTGGCGTGGGTGGTCGGACGTCTGGGCAGGAAACACGGGAGGGGCGATCTGGGGAGCAAGGGTGAGGGCAGTGTTGGCCGTGTGGAGTGAGAGACCTGGGGCACTGGGAGAGAAGTTGGGTACAGACATGGACCGGTGACATCAGCTCTAGGATGGCAGCAGGTGGCAAGAGTGTGGGTAAGTATAACCAGATGCAAGGGTGAGGGGGAGTCTGGAGTACCAGCAGGGAGAGAGGGTGGGGAAGGCCCTGAGGGGGCTGGGGTGAAGGGACAGGGTGGGAGCAGCCCACTGGGCCTGACACATCCCATGAGGTCTGACTTGAGCTGATCGGTGAAAAGACTGGGGAGGCAGAGGGTTGGAAAAGGGAGAGGGGCCCTGGCTGGTGCGGCCCAGTGGAGGGCACTGGCCTTGAAACGGAAAGGTCTCTGGCTCGATTTCCAGTCACAGCACGTGCCTGGGTTACTGCCTGGGTTATGGGCCAGGTCCCCAGCTGGGGGAGTGCGAGAAGAAGTCAGGAAGCTGATCCATGTTTCTCTCGAGCATCAATGTTTCTCTCCCTCCCTTCCCCTCTCTCTAAAAGTAAATATATAAAATGAAATAGTAAATGCTTTAAAAAAAAGGGAGAGGAGGAGTAAGCATTGGGGCTGGGGTGGGATAGTGCAGGTGCTCATCTGAGATGACACTAGGGACTCAGAGCCCCTTCTTCACGGAGGGCAGGTGATGAAGCCTGAAGGGAGGGAGGGAGCCAGACCTGGAGGGGCCCAAATTCAGACTGGGAAGGAGAGGACGGGTGAGGCTGAGGTTCATGGCACAGGTTGGGCTCGATCTCAGGTGGACTGAAAGAAGACCAGCTGGGTGAGACAGACCCCAACCAAATGCAGGCTCTGGTGGGGAAAGGCCAAGGGGCGCTTGCCTGGGGCCTCTCTTCTCTGTGTCTTAGGAAGGGATGAACTGCTGAGAGGTGGAGGGGTTGGGACTTGACAAAGGGCCCCAGTGATTCCAGGGAGAAGAGAGGGAGCAATCTCTGGGCCTCAGAACTTGGTCAGTTATCCAATCTGAACCCTTCTCAAACTATAGCTTCCAGAAAGTCCTTCTTGGGATCTAGCTTTCCCTGTACTCCCTCCCATTTACCTGGCTTCCTGGGACAGGCCTGGACTGGTACTTCCAGAGGACCGGGTGCTGGAGGATGCACGGTGGGCCCTTACTCCCTGAGGGCACCGCCACTTCCACCTCAGCATAAATGTTGCTGGGGGCTTCCCCAGGGCTGCCCCTGCCCATGGCGTAGAAGGCTATGGGTTCATCAGGCTCGTGGTAGATGGGGTTGGAGGGCTTGGGGGGCACAGCTGGGCGAGGTCGTGGAGTCGAGCTTGTGTAGACTTCGGGGGGTAGCTGAGGTTTAGCGGGCACAGGAGGCTTGGGCCTAGGGGGCTAGGAGAGAAGGCGACAGCCGGGGAGGGGAGTGGGTCAAAGCAACCCAGGTAGGAGCCTGTGCCCTCTGCAGACCCCACCCCTCCCAGCTGGCCCCGCTCCCCGCTCCTCTCAGGCTGCTGCCTCCCTCCTGCCTGGCCTCCTCCAGGATCCTCCAGCCCAATACCTCCTTTGGCTCGCAGTTCCCATCTTTCTGTGTGGGGGCTCTGGGATTCTCATTTTTGAGAACTGGGCTGTACTGGGGGTGCAGGTATTGGCTTTTGCTTCCAGAGTCTGATTCTTCAGTCCGTAAGGAAAGTCCTGCAGGCTCAGGAGTCTGCAGTGAAAGAAGGAGGCTTGAGGACTTGGTTGAGGACGGCTGGCTGGCGGGTAGGGATCACCTGCCGGTGATCTAGGAGGTCAAAGTAAACCGGCCCAGGTGGAGGATCGGGGGAGGGGTATGGAAATCTGGCCTGTGCTGGGTTCCCTGCCTGAAGAAGAGGGTGTGGAGATGGCAGGGAGACAGAGGGCACGGAGGGGAATAGCTCTGGTCACAGGCAATATCTAGCATTAAACTTGATTTCATCTGGCACACAGGGCCAGACAGGCCTCCCTTGTACCTGTGGTTGTAAAAATGCAACAAGGCTTGAGAAGATTTTAGCCTAAAATTTTTTGGCATGACAGACCTCCAAGTCTGCTGAGCCTATGTTTATTTCTGCAGGTCCCAGAGGAGTACTTTATGGAGATATAAGCCAGATATTTTAGGGCAGAGAGACTGCCTCGAGGAGATGAGCCTTACAGGGGGACAGTTCTCTCCCGTAACAGGTGTGCTTTTAGTGCAGCATTTAGCCCTGGGCTCGTGAACGCTCCCACATGCCCGCTTCTGCTGCTGTGCTCCTGCATCCACCAAGCGCGTGTCTCCACCTGGAGGTGTACAGGCACTGCAGGCTTCGTGGATCCAAGCCTGCAGTATTCTAGTAGCCAGAATTCTTATTCCCTGCCCCAATCCCCTCCTCTCTTACATCCCCTTTATGAATAAAAAGCAGCACCTCCACCCTGCTGCCACACAGCACCTTAGGAGTCAACCTTGACCCTTCCATACCCACATCTGCTGGAACACACCCCGGCTCCTTTCACTGCCCCGGTGTTTTTACCTCTGCATGCTTCTCTCCATGCCCACAGCCACCACCCCAGTCCAGGCCTCTTAAATCCTCCCCTTGCATTATCTTGCCCTGGCAACCCATTCTCCAAGAAACTCTCCTTAGCAACCCTTCGGTGGCCTGCTGCTCCCAGATAAAGTCCGAACTGCAGAGAGCTTGGTGTCAGACCCTCTGAGACCCAATCACAGAGCTCGGCCTGCGGCAGGTCTGCCTTCAGCTCTGTCAGTTCCAGCCGGCTCCCCGCACCTGCACCTCCAGGCTGTCCTGCACCGCTCTCGCTGCTCCAGAAGCTTCAGGTCTCCTCCTGTTCCTCATGAACTTCCACAAAAGGGTTGCCCATAGACACAGTTACTGCTTCTTTGAACTGATTCCAATCAAGCTCCAAGAACCATTCTTGCCCAGGTCACCAGTGACTTCTTGGCTAAATCCAGTGGTCTTTTCTGGACCTCTAGGCACCTGCCCTTCCCTGACTTGCTTTTTTGGCGTGGCTCCGAGGCCATCACCCTCTCCTGGTTGTCTCCTCTCTCTCTGCCTGCTCCTTCTCAATTTTCCTTGTAGGTTCTCCCTCATGTCTGCAAACTTTAAATGCTGAAGACTTGGCGGTCCTTTCTTTTCCCATCTACACTCACTCTTACGTGAGACTTCACCCTTCCTGGGGGCTTTGGAATCAATCCAGCTACAAGCTGATGACCCAAATATTTATCTCTAGTCCATACCTGTGTCCCAAACTCCAGGTTCAGGTATTCCAACTGCCTACCTGACATCTCCGCATGGATAGAGAATGGATATCTCAGACTGTACATGTCAAAACTGACCTCCTGTTCTCCACCAGCCCTAGGCCTGCTCCTCCTGTAGCTTCCTCCTCTCAGTCAGTGAGAGCTCACCTTTTACACTCACCATCCATTCCCGCAAAACACCCTTTCAGCCTACCTTCAGAACAGACCCAGCATCCCACCTCCTCACCCCTCCGCCTCTACCAGCCTGGTCCAGCCTGCACTCACCTCACCTGACGCATCGCAGTAGCCTCCAGCTGGCCACCCTTGCCTCTCCGAACTTGCCAGTCCATGTCAGTCCTCACTTATAACCGTCCGGCACCACATCTCACTCAGCATAAAATCTCGGATCCTTTCTAGAGTCTGCAGGGTCTCCTCCCTTCACCTCTCTGATCTCACTTCCTCCCTTTCCACCCTGCTAGCTTCCTCAAACACGCCGAACATCCCCCTACCTCAGGGCCTTTGCTCTTGCTGTCCCTTCTGCCGACAGGGTTTTTCCTTTGGTTGTCTGCATGGCTCCCTCCCTTACTTCGCTGAGGGCTCAGTTCCAATGTCCCCTTATCACAGTAGCTTTCTCTGATGTCTCTGCATAAGATAGCCCCAAACCTGTCACTCCCTGTTACTGCGTGTTTTTTCTTCTTAGCACCTACTCATCATTACTGAATATATTATTACATATTACCCGTTAGTCATCTGTATTGCGTATTCGTCTGTCTCCTCTCACTAGAATGGAAGCTCCATGAAGGCAGGGATATTTTGGTCAGTTTTGTTTACTGCTCTTTTTCCAGGGCCCAGACCAATGCCGGGCACAGAGTGGTCCCTCAGAACTGCCCCAACGTCCTCAGGAAGGCACCCCCTGACGCAGCTCCCCTACTCTGTACTTCTTCCCATCACAGCCGCACACTTGGTTCTCAGTGTTTGTCTTTGCTGCTGGCAAGTAAGCTTTGCGGGTTCGGGACCGTCTGTCTTTCCATGGCTCTGTTTCCAGAACCTGTCAGCATCTGGTACATTCTGGGTACTCAGTAAATATCCCTTAACTAAAAACAAACATGCAAACAAATGAAAACAAGTGATCCATGTGCCTTCTTTGTGGCTGGACTGGTCTCTCGAGAATCCCTCCCACAGCATGGTCTTTCTCAAAAGGCTTCCCGCGGAGGTACGTGGGCAAGGGAGGCACGGCTGGGCAGTTTTGCCGGGGTGAGAAAGTGCCTGCCACCGCGGTCCTGTGGCCTGGGCTCTGGGTGAGGAGAGGGACTGGCCCGGGTCTCCCGGTGAGGGTCACAGTCAGGGTCAGGGGTCAGGGGTCAGGGGTCAGGTCCCAGTTGGGGGGGGGGCGGGGGCGTACCTCGCGGGCAAGGGGCTGGCTGAGCGTCTCCCCGTAGGGGCTGAGAGGGGACCCCGTGTAGTACCGCAGCAGGTCCTGCAGCCGCCAGTGGGCACTGTCCTCGCCCAGCACCATGTGGCGTCCGTCCCCGAGCTGGGCCAGCAGGAAATGGCGGCAGCAAGTCCGGCTCCTAGAGGGCGCCAGTCAGGATCAGACTCGCTCCCCCACACTCTCAACCCTCCGGGTCAGGGTCACTAACGTGATCCCTACCCCCCCCCACCCCGGGCCCCAGAGTGTCCCACTCTCAGTAGTGGGGGTGGGGAAGAGGAAGAGGAGGGGCTGAACGAAAAGCCTGGCGCCCGCGAGCGGTCTAGCGCTCTGCCTCACACCCAACTTCTGCATCCAGTTCCGCCCCTCGGATTAGCCCGGAGCCCGGTTTCCTGGCCCCGCCCCTCACCTGTAGGTCAGCACGAAGGTCACAGCGCTCTCGCTGAACCGCACCAAGTAGCAACCCTCGGGCTTGGTCTCTAGCAGCCTTTCGGCCTCCCTGTGGGTGATGGAGAAGAGACAGATGCTGCTCTGACTATTCCAGCCTTGCTCCCTGTCGCCCGGGCTCCCGTGGCCAGACCCAACTAATCCGACTGAAGTGGCTGGAGAAGGGTGGAGGTGGGCGAGGGGATGTGGGCACTACTCTTCCGCTGTAGCACCTGGACATGGATGGACCCCAGGGTCCAGCGGCGGTGAAGGGGGGCCCGGGTGATGGTGGTTCTGTTGTTGGAGTGGTGGCTACAGCGACAGTGCTCTAATGGACTTCTAGATGACAGAAGTCAAGCTGAAGGGAGTGTGAACAAAGATACCAAGGAAGTGAAGCTGAGAAATGGAGGAGGAGGAACTGCAAGGGAGGAGAGAAAGAGGAGAGAGTTGAGTGAGCCAGAGGTAAAGAAGGGGTGAGAGAGAGCCTGAGACACCTGGAAATCATGAGGATTAGAGGCCATCTTAGATACAGGAGGATAACTGAGCCCACAGAAGGGAAACTGAGGCACAGGGTGGGTAGGGCTGGAGCCTCTCCAATGATCTCCTCCAGGGGAGATGCCTTAGTGAATGGCCTGGGAACCCCCAGGAAGCACAGCCTGGGCTGGGAGCCCCAGTTGACTCCTGATGGGTGGAGAGACCCAGGACTTGCTCCTGCCCCTCTCTGGGCCTCTCCTCCCCTGTGACTCACCTCCGGGTGATGAAGCCGTGGAACCAAGGAGGGGCCGCCCCGTGCTGCAGGAGCCCCTGGGCCTGGGTCTTCTGGAACCAAGCCCGGGTCTCAGCCTGCAGGGATTGGCCTCCTTCCCTAGGCACCTCCTCAGCCCTTCCAGTGTCTTCTGGGCTGGGGGCAGCCCCCAGGGCCTGCGAAGATGCCTGGTTAGGGGAGGAATTCAAGGAGGGAAAGCAGCCGTGATTACTGGGCCTTCTGATGCCAAGCCAGTGTCTACCTTCTCATCCTTATCTCCAGATCCTCCTGGGTGGGAGGAGGAAGCTCGTGGCCCCCAATCACAGTTGCCTATTTTAAGTATAATTGCCCCGAAATCTCTCCCAAGGTCTGACTTAAATCCCTTCTTCGGCTCCAGCTGTCTTGGTTTCTAGGGAATTTTTCTACTTCTCGCTGGATCCTGGGGGCCTTTAAGCCAGTAGCAATAAGCTGTCAGATTGTGCTCAAATGGGGTGAGGCCTTCCAGATGGACCGGAAGTCATACCCTGGCCTGGAGGATGTAGGGAGGTGAAGCAGGAGGTCACCCCAGAGTCTGGGATAAGGGAGAGCCCACCCTCCAGCAGTGGATTGAGCTGGTTGGTGGGAAGGATAGCCAAACAAATGGGTGAGCTAGAAGGGCTGCGATGGGGGTGTGCTAGGCAAATGAAGGTCATGGACAAAGATGCATATGCCTGTTTCTGGGACTTGATACACTGTACCTTGGCCACCTAGGGACTCAACCTGAGCTTTCCAGGGACAGAAGATCAGTGATTGGGCAGTTCAGCACATAAAGAAGGCACCTCCTGTCTTCTTTTCCCCCCTCTGTGAAGTCCCAGGTCACTCCTGCTTTCTCCCCACTGGCCTTTGTTCATCCATGAGTCCTCACCCATGGGAGGCGTGGGAGCAGATGAAGGGGCTGCAGACCCAGGTTCCTACTCACCCCAGTGTGGACATCCGGGGCTGTAGGGATGAACTGGGCCTCCTCAGCCTTTAGGGCCTGGAGTCTGGGCACTGGAAGCAAGCCCAGGCCCTGGCAGCTTTTGTAGGTCAAGTCCATGGGCTGGAAGGTGCTGGAGGTTGGGGTAGGGGTTTTGTGACTCCCTGTTAGCACAAAGAGAACAGGTGGGACTTCTCAGTGAGGGACTGCCTCTCTCTGCTGCTCACCCCTGCCCCGGGCTTAGAGGTGGCCTGCATGCCTTTCACCAGGAACCTGGAGGACAGGGACAGTTATGTCAGCAGGAGAAATGCAGGTAGGACAGTGGCAGGGGTGGATTTCTCAGAGAGGAGAAGTATGGAGCCACGGAGGGACAGAGGGGCTGAGGCAGCTGAGCAGCTTGTTGGGGAAACTGGGCATCAGCAAGGGGAGCTGGAGGTCATCTGGCCTTCTAAAATCCCGGAAGCAAGTCCCACAATCGGGGAGGGGAGCCTGATCTCTTTGGTGCAGGTCCCTCTTCTGGTCCAGGATCCTCTGGCTCCCCCATCCCTCCTGCTTTCTCTGCCCTCCTCCCGAAAGAGCATACAGCAGATCCTTTGTTCTCAGGGCTGAGCGGACCTGCAGTCCCAGAGAAGGAGAAGGGGTTGTAGGCACCCTGCACTCAGTCTTGCCAGCTCTGGCTTGGGGTGGGGCTCTGGCCCAGGAGAAGCAGGCTGTGGGGGTCCTATCCCCTCCCACCCACATTCTTCAACATCACACTTACCGTGGGGGCCTATCTGGGCCGGGGGAAGTCCGTGGCGGCAGCCCGAGAGGGAGCCCCGGAGGCAGGGTATGTGTCTGCGCTCTGGAAAGGTGTGCACACTCAGCAGTTCCCCTCTCACCCCAGCCCCTGGAGCAGGAAATGCGGCTTTACCGACAGCCCTAGCCCTAGCAGAGGACTCGCGTCATGGAAAGCCTAAGACAATTGTTCCTCCCCCGGAAGCCAGGCAGCTGAAGGTGGTTGTGGTGTGGTGGTGCATATTTGTGTCACACTGTGTCTGGGTGTTAGTTAGGGAGTCCTTACTGTTGTCTGACCTGGGTCCTGGGTCCCCCCCCCCCCCACACCGTTCTCTCATTACTCCCTCACACCAGGCTGGGGCTTCTCTTTCTCTGTCTCTCAGCTTCTGCTCTGAGCAGTGGCAGTGGGGAAGTCAACCTCAGGAGGATAAGCCCTAGAAGGCTCTCAGGCTTTGGAGCCACTGGAGATTTGTACTCAGGATTATCCCTTTAGGACACTTGGGGAGGGAGAGGGCAGGGCTGCAACAGGAAGGACGAGGGTCAGACTTCTGGGAGAACATTTTGAGGTATGAAATCTGTGAAACGAAGGATAAAGAGAAGGGGGCCTGGCTGCACCCTCCAGCAGATGACAGAGCTGGGTTAGAGCAAACCAGGCAATCCTGGAGGAAGGGAGGGAGGATTTCCTCCAGCCAGTCGGACTGCTGTTAGTGGTAGCAATATCATTAGAAATTGTTAGTAACTTCAGTGCTGACGTCTTAAACTCAGGTGGGCTTTTATCTCTGCTGCACCAGAGGACTAATCCTATTTCTTTCTCACTTGAATCTTCACAAATGAGAAGGGGACGGGGAACATTATCCCCATTTTCTGGAAGGGAAAACTAAAGCTCAGAGAAGTGCCTCGGCCGAGGTCTTTCAGTGGCTCCGAAGTTGGTGGCAGGGTTGGAACTAAAATCTAGATCTTTTACTAATTTCACTGTGATTTAGGCCAATGGTCCATGACTATGAGACTATGTTCTTGGTGTGAAGAACCCAGAGAGAAAAGGATTGTGTCTCAAGACGGCGGACAGGGAGCCAGACTTGCCAACAGACACTTATTGTGGCAAATTAATGGTGCGGATGGTGCTGCCGGAGTCTCCCTCAGAGGCCCCCACTCTGGCCTGGTGTGCGTGGGTGTGTGCATAGGAGTTGGGATGTCAAAGAGGAGACTGAGCTGAGTTGTGGAGGATACGTAGGATTGAGGAAGATGGGGAAGGGTGTTTCTAGAAGAGGGACAAGCATGCGCAAATGCATGGAAGATAGAAGTGGTGCACCGGGTAGCCGAGGGGAAGCTGGCTCCGAGGCTGCCAGCACCAGTTTATGTAGCTGCAGGGCACCAGGCCAGATTACTTGCTGCCTTGTTCTGGGGAAGGAGTTTGGACTCCTGACTCAGCCTGGAGAGCTACTTCCCCACCTGCTCCGGGCAGGGAAACACTTTCTGAAGCGGTTACTGCTGGCCCAGCCACACCCGAGTCCTTATTCACCTCCTCCTGAGCTGCCTGCTCCCTCTTCCCTTCTATAAAAACTGTTGCCTTACACTTGGTCCCAGCCCCAGGCGATGGAAAGGGGACTAAGAAGTGCCTCTTGGAGGAGAGAGCTCTGACCCCACAAAGGGTTGTTCCCCAGACGGTGCCTGAGCCTTCAATAGGCCATTCTAGCATTCCATGGAGCTGATTAATTTTGGGTGACAGGGAAGACCAGTAACTTCTGCAGTCATGAGGCTGTCGTGTGCCTCTTTGCTGTACAATGAGTTCTTTGGCCCGAGGCACTGAGATGTGGGATGCTATACTGAGAGAGCAGACATCCCGTAAGCACAGGGGTAGTGCTGGAGTTTGTACTGATTCTGATAAGGACAAATCACTACCTCTTCAAAAGGGATAGGGGGTCTACTCTAACCAACCTGCCACTGTGTGGCTGGATGTTTTCCCCCCCTACTAAGTAATATGGCTCAGTGTCAATCTCTCTTGCAAGCAAGCTGGGCTCTCCGCAGTAGCTCTGAACCTCGGCGAGATGGCTCGGATGATCTTGGGCCCGTGCAAAGCCTCCATCTTGCAACCAAGTCTGCTGTTTATCAGCCCATTGTTCCAGCATGTGGGTGACCAATGACTAAAGAGAAAGGATGGCTGACGTCCACGGGATGGGTTATCCTGCCCAGTGTTGTGGAAATGCATGCCAGTCCTGGACCTGCCATACACTTATCTCTTTCCCAGGCCTCTTTTCCTTCAGTCTTTCATTTTATTTTTTTTTCCAGGACTCTGACCAACTGGCCAACCCATTTAACACTTCCCAGTACTCCATGCACATCCTTGATCTGACCATCCCTATGTACAAAGTGCATGACCAGTGAGTGCTTGCAGCTCTGACCCCTGGGAATAATCCCCTTGCCACTGCCCTTCAGGGACACCCTAGATGGGAACCCCCGTGGGGGCATATGTGTGGCTGCAGAAGTAGTAGTGCAAAAAAGACAGGTGATGTGGGAGTCTGGGATGCCTTCTCATGCAATTTGTTTTGTTTCAAGTTTTTTTTTTTAATTTATTGATTTTTAGAGAGAAGGGAAAGGGGGGCAGAGAAATGTTGATTTGTTCTTTCACTTATTCATGCATTCATTGGTTAATTGTTTTTTTAAAGTATATTTTATGACTTATGCTGTTACAATTGTCCCATTTTTTTCTCCCCTTTATTCCCCTCCACCCTGCACCACCCTGCACCAGCATTTTCCCCCTTGTAGTTCATATCCATGGTTTTACATATAAGTTCTTTGGCTTCTCCATTTCCCATACTATTCTTAACCTCCTCCTGTCTATTTTGTATCTACCATTTATGCTTCTTATTCCCTGTACCTTCCCCCCTTTCTCTCCCCTCCCCCTCCCTGCTGATAACCCTCCATATGATGTCCATTTTTGTGATTCTATTCCTGTTCTAATTGTTTGCTTAGTTTGTTTTGGTTTGTTTTTTTAGGTTCAGTTGTTGACAGTTGTGAGTTTGTTGTCATTTTACTGTTCATATTTTTGATCATCTTCTTTTTCTTAGATAATTCACTTTAACATTTCATATAATAAGGGCTTGGTAATGATGAACTCCTTTAACTTGACCTTATCTGGGAAGCACTTTATCTGCCCTTCAATTCTAAATGATAGCTTTGCTGGATAGAGTAATCTTGGATGTAGGTCCTTGCCTTTCATGACTTGGAATACTTTTTTCCCAGCCCCTTCTTGCCTGATTTCTCTTTTGAGAAATCAGCTGATAGTCTTATGGGCACTCCTTTGTAGGTAATTGTCTCCTTTCCTCTTGCTGCTTTTAAGATTCTCTCCTTATCTTTAATCTTCAGTAATTTAATTATAATGTGTCTTATCCTCCTTGGGTCCAATTTCTTTGAGATTCTCTGAGCTTCCTGGACTTCCTGCAAGTCTATTTCCTTGCCAGATTGGGAAGTTCTCCTTCATTGTTTTTTTCAAGTAAGTTTTCAATTTCTTGCTCTTCCTCTTCTCCTTCTGGCACCCCTAAGATCCAGCTGTTGAAACATTTAAAGTTGTCCCAAAGGTTCTTAAGCCTCTCAGTTTTTTGAATTCTGGTTTCTTCATTCTGTTCTAGTTGAACGTTTATTTCTTCCTTCTGCTTCAAATCCTTGATTTGAGCCCTGGTTTCCTTTCTGTCACTGTTGGTTCTCTGTATATTTTTCTTTATTTCACTTTGCATAGCCTTCACTTTTTCCTCAGTTTTGTGACCACACTCAACGACTTCTGTGAGCATTGTGATTACCAGTTTTGAACTCTGCATCTGATAGGTTGGCTCTCTCTTCATTGCTTAGTTCTATTTTTGGAGCTTTGATCTGTTCTTTAATTTGGGACATGTTTCTTTGCCTCAGCTCTCCTGTTACGTTGTAGGGGCAGAACCTCAGGTATTCATCAGGGTGGGGTAACCCACTTTGGGTGTTGTGCTGCTGGATGTGGTGGAGGGGTCAGAGAGGGAACAATGTCACTTGCTCAGCTTTCTGTGGGCTTTCGGTCACTTCTCCCACTACCCACAAGCAAATTAGGCCCTTCTGGTGCTGATTCCCAAGTGGGGTGGGTTTGTGCAGGTTCTAGGACCCTGTGGGTCTCTCCAACAAACTCTCTTGTGAGACTAGGAGTTTCTCCCGCTGCTGCAACCCCCAGATGATTTTACAGCCAGAGGTTTTGAGTCTTTTTCCCCCATGCTGGAACACTGGGTTGCATGGTCTGTCTCACTCCCCAGTTATTCCTCCGGGTTTATCTGCACATGAATGTGGAACTGCCCCATCTGCCACCTGCTGCCCCTGCCACTTGTCCTCTTTGCCCCAGCTACCCATCTCCACCCCTCTAGTCAGAAACAGTCTGAATGAATGTTTCTTCTTTAACTCTTTATTTGTGGGACTTCATACAGTTTGGTTTTCTGGCAGTTCTGGTTGGTTTTTGTTTTTTAAATTTGTTGTTGTCCTTCTTTTGGTTGTGCAAGGAGGCAAAGTGTATCTACCTATACCTCCATCTTTGCCCTCATTAGTTCATTCTTTGTTGTTCCCTGACCTGAGATTGAACCCACAACCTTGGCCTGTTGAGAGGACAAGACAACTAACTGAGCTACCCAGCCAGGGCTCATGCAACTTACTTATACGTTCTGGAGAAGCTCCAGCCTGGTCCAGAGGTGTCACTCCAATCACACAATGGATGACTGCTTTGCCTGTCTAACTTTATGACTCATGGATCAGATAAGATTCAGCTTATGGGGGTAGCTCAAGTTGAATGGTCACTTGGTGCCCACTGGTCAAGCACTCCATTTTTATTAGGGCCTAATAGCATATCAGTTGCTATTTTTCAGATGTAATTCTTTGTCAGATATCAGGGACCTCCACCTGCAGTGCTCCCCTTGGTCACCATGGATGAGAATAATTCTACCAAGATATGATCTGCTTGGGGAAGAAGGCTGACCAGTCTGATTGCCCCCCACTGGGAACTGCTGGTTCCAGCACAGGATTGCACTCCACCTTCGGCATTGTTTCAGGCCTGAATCAGGTAGGGGAAGCAAGGCAGCCAAGAGATTAGGAGACTTTTTACAGATAGAATGAGGACTTGGGCTATGATAAAGCCAAGGGGTGAGGGTTTTTTGTCCCTTCTCCACAATCCCCTAAATCATTCCCTGATGGCCCCTTTGAAACCATGCCTGTCTTAGGTTGTCCCTCCTTTGAGGAATCTTATGTGTCATTGGCTAACCAGTCACCTGCCCAAGGCCAAGCAGGGTGAAGTAAAGGGAGCAGAGGCAGCACCCCTGCTGGGAGGATAAGTTTTATCTCCTTAGTGGCTTATGGTCCCAAGGTCCCCTAGCCATGGAGCCTTTTCACCTGTCAGCGGGTTACAGCCTCTGAAACCAGGCAGGATGGTTCCCAACAGTCAGAAAGGGCGTGACCTTTTTCCAGAACCTGAGGATATGTGCTGCAATTCTCCGCCAGAACATGCCAAAGACCCCACACAGCATCCTTCCCTACCATGGGTATTTCTAGCACACTAGACTTGCTGGATCAAAATGCCCAAGTGCCAGAGCAGCTTGTTCACAGCCTGGACCTGCTGCAAGGGCCCTCTCTTGCTCTGGGATGCACCTGAGACTGTCAGCCTTCTGTGTCATTCTATAATTAGTTTGAAGTGGCATTCTCAAGCACAGCACACCTTTGTCCCCCAAATTCAAAGAAACCAGCTTGATTGCTCTACGTGCAGAATCAATATCAAAGAAACCAAATGAATACTTTGTTGTCTTCTTAGTGCTAGAAAATGCAGGGTGTAATATCTTGTCCTTGACAGTAAGCTGAACCCCAGGGCTTCTGGAAAGGAGTTGGTGAGCCCTGGCCAGTCAGCTCATTTGGTTAGAGCATTGTCCTGATACAGCAAGGTTGCAGGTTTAATCCCTGGTCAGGGCACATGCAAGAATCAACCAATGAATGCATAAATAAGTAAAACAACCGATCAGTGTTTCTCTCTCTCTCTCTGTAAAATCAATCAATAAATAATAAAGAAATGAAAATATTTTTTAAAGAGGGAAAGAGGTGGTGATCAAGGGAATCTGAGCTCTGCCCAATATAGCACAGATAATGCATGCTATTATACATTTTTGCTTCTCCTATCTGCTTTCAGGGAACAAAATGGATGAGTTTTTACTATCCTGTCCTCTGCATTCAGACTTTACCAACAGCCTACTATTACCTTGTAAAATCAGTTATTATTTTATTTCAAAGATTTTTATTTATTTATTTTTAGAGAGAGGGAGAGGGAAGGAGAAAGAAAAGAAGAGAAACATCAATGCGTGGTTGCCTCTTATGCGCCTCCTGCTGGGGACCTAGCTTTCTACACAGGCATGTGCTCTGACTGTGAATTGAAGCAGTGACCATTTGGTTCACAGCCTGTGCTCAATCCACTGAGTTACACCAGCCAGGGCAGCAGTTATTATTTTATAAATAACTGCCAGGGGCTGGCATTGTGTTATTTAAGGATTACCTGGCACCACTTCACAGGTGGGAAAACTGAGATCAAGGTCAAGGGTCTTAGCTTTAGTCACACAGTGAGAAAATTAATCTGAACCGAGCGGGTGCTTCCAGCTTAGGACTTCTAGGCTCTGTAGGTGAGGAGGGCCTGTGCTAAGTGCTTTGCAGGTATGAACTCATACACCCTGATAATAGGCCAATGACGGTGATTCTTATTACCATTCCCATTTCACAGGCAGTGAATCTGAAAACTCAGGAGATTAAACAACTTGCTCAAGGTCATGTGTCAGTCAGTAAGTGGGCATCAGAACAAGGCGATCTGACTTCAGATCTTGGGGTCTCAAAATTGGAGAACTAGTGACCAATACTGAATCAGGCACATAACCCCACATGGATAGGTGGGCACTACTTAACTGCTTTCCCACCTAATAGTTTCATGTCAGACAACTGAGTGGAGCAGAAAAGAAGCAGGACTTTCAAAGCTTTTGATTGTCACTAGGACAAAAGAACTCTGTGGAATTTCCCTGAGAAGACCAGTACATTCATGCTATAAAAAACCAGAAT